GTAGATTGTCACTGAGATAGAAAAAAAATGCATCCCAAATACAAAGTTCTCCTACAATCCATATTTCATGCATATTTCCCAAAGCATGGAATATTAGAACTTTTAAAAAAAAGGGTCACTGGGATTTTTAAAACAAAGCCATATTTTTTCCTAGTTTCATTTTTGGAAATTGCTGAACCATATTCGCTGAAAATTTCCAAAAACGAATTTAGCTTGAGGCAAACAACTGACATGGAAAATTTCAGGTTATAAAGAGAAAAAAATTATAAGCAACCAAAAACAAGGTCTTATAATGGGAAACCTTATTAATAAAAGGAGCTACTAGCTTGCCTATAATTTTCACTTGGATTTTCAAAGAATATGAGCCTTGAAGGCAGTGTACTCAAAGACCCAGAGAAAAAGTCCCCTATAGCATTCTGTACAAACCCTTAAGCCTCAGACAAGCAGCTGTCCTGGAGAGTTTCAGAGAGAACCATGTCTGTTGAAAAGGGAGTTATGCGTAAAAAGTCTACTTAATGCGCATGGAGAAGAAGTAAAAATAGCAGACTGCTCGCAGTGCCCAGCACTATTTTTGAAGTCTTTTTGCATCGAGTTCCCGCTCCACCACTGATTGGCGAAGGGGGCCTGGCGGCCCCGCCCCTCACTACCGATTGGGTGAGAGGGCTACCCTTCATGCAGCCCTGCCCCTCACTGCTGATTGGTGGAGAGGGGCGAGGCTGAACAAAAGGCAGTCCTCTTGGCCAAACAGCAGAGGAGGCAGGAAGGGGTGGCCTGGATGCTCCCCTCTGTGCTAGCTAGCAGTTTCCCTCCCCACACCCAACAGGCTGCAAGGCTGGGCTGCATTCCCACTGGGGAGCCAGCATTTTATTTTTAGTAAGTTTTTCCTTTCCTTTAGTAAGTTTCCAGCTGTTCTGCATAAAATTGTGGGGAATGCCACTTTTCGCGGTGATCACGGAAACCACCTTTTTTGTGGTTTCTGTGAAAATCATGAAATCATGAATTTAGTAGATCCCTAGTTTTGAGGGAAGAGGAATAAACGGTGTGCGTCTCAAAGAGGGCTCATAGGACAACCCCCAACACCGACAAAAAAAAAAAATCATAGTTTCTGAAATAATTCTCCAATTTATCTGAATTTAAAAGTGTTTCTTATTAACGTAAATTATTGTCCTTAATGTTGATTCATCTCTCCTCTTGTTTGACCCATTTTTGTTTTTGTTGAAGAATTGTCCTGACAATATAAAGTACAGAAAGACAGAATTTAATTAACACCAGTTCCCATAAATTTCACCTAATTTGGTTTTTTACTGATCCAGGTTTAGTAATTAAATGATTCACTGGAAACACAGACATTTGTCAAATGTTCTAGAAAATACACTGAGCCCATGGGGTGAAAAAAGAAATATATTAAGCTTTTTAGTTCTGTCAGGTGTGTAGTTCAACAGGAGACTCATTTAAAAAACATAATACATTGGATTGGTTGAGAAAGCCACCTTTGGGTGTGTGTAGATGAAACAGGGGCTCTAAATAGAAATGGTGGGTTTTTAAAAACACCGCTTCAATTTAGGGTCCTTTAAAGCCCTGTATCATGCATGCACCCAAACTTACCTGCCTCTCTGGCGGCAGGGAGAGGAGGGCAAGCTGCTGGCAGGTGGAGCGGTCCCTGGGCTGCAGAGGGGCTGGTGCTTCCCTCTGTGGCAACAGTGGTCCCACCCCCCGGCGGTACCCACCTGCAGGCACCTGGCTTGGGCAGTCCTGGGGGGCACTGCAGCTGCAGAGGGAAGCACCAGGCCCCTGCACAGCTTAGGCAGGCAGGCTCCAAGGGAAAAAGAAAAAGATCAGACTGGATGCTTTTTTTTTTTTTTTTTACTTGGGCAGTCTGCCTGCCCGGGCTTCCTGCAGAGCCCCTGAGCTGCATAGAGCCCGGTGCTTTGCTCTGCAGCTGTAGGCAGCTGTAGGCCAGTTTGCTGTGCCCCAGGTCATTTAAGGTGAATTATGCTGCTAAATTTGCTACAGTGGCTGGAACTACTGCACAATACGCCGCCAATGCATGCAAACACCAACACCATTAAAATGGGCAACAGCATTTAACCTGCTTTAAAGTGTACACATGCCCCTCATTTCATCTACACACAGCCTTTATTTCATTTTGGTTTGCTGTTTTCTTACTGAATATTGTAGTTTTCCTCATACTCATCTCATAATCATGAATGGTGTTATTGATGCCAGTAGAGATACTGATAGGTATAAAGCAGAAGACTTGGCCCTTCTGACTTATCCTTTGGTACTTTCATTGGTCAGCTGATGAACATTTGTTTGTTGGTACATGTCTTGTCACCACTTTTGTGTAATATTTTAACATTTCTGAATGCTTTCAGGTCTGGGCATATTTATACATGGTAAAATAGTATAAGACAAAGTCTGTTTTCTACTATTCTGACATTATCAAGGGGACTTCTAAAGCATATAAATAAATTACACTTTGTGAATTGAGTATTAAGACGTGCATAAAGCAGTGGTGCTTTTAATATTTGTGTTTCTGTTTGTCGCTTTATTTGTCGGTTATATCTCACAGTCTTTAATCAGTCAAAACAATGAGCTTTACTTGAAAGTTTGCCTGTGTAAGGACTGCAGTATTTTACCACATGAGCTTACAGGCTGGTGCTGCTCTCAACAGCAGTGGCAATATTTTATTTATTCATTTCTTAGATTTATATGCTGCCCTTCCCAACAAAGGCTCAGAGTGGCTTACAGTAAGAGAACATAATCACTTATAAAAGAGAAGAATGAACAAAAGAACAAAATAAGAGAACAAAACTTATGAAATCAAATAGAAGATCAAACTAAAATAAAAAAACCCATAACCCCACAAACAATATCCCAGCTTAGTCTTGCTTGCTAACTGTGTTCCCAACTAGGAAGCTCTTACAGTGCTTCTGCAAGCTTCCAGAGGCCAAGCCTGGTAATGTCTCAAAGGGAAAGGAATCTCAGAGCTGAGGAGCAACTGCAAAGAACAACTTTCCATACATTTTTGCCGAGAGAATTTGATGCATTGATGGCACTTTCAGGATGGGGCATAAGGAAGAAAGTTGTCCCTTGGGTACATAGGGCCTCATAGGCCCAAACCAGCACTTTGAATTGTAAGTGCTGGTTACTGTAGAAAGTTACTGGAAGCTAGTGCAGACTCTGTACTATGGAAGAAGGAAACTGTCTTTAATATACACCAGATTTGCAATCCACCTACCTACTCATGATGAAGTTCCCATGGTTTCTGAAGTGACATCATGGCATACAACCAGCACAGAATTTCTCTTCTCAGCACATGGGCCAGATAAAATCACTACTCCTCTATATACTTCTTAATTCAATAAAATATTGTGCAGTTTCACAGACAGAAGGATATGCTACTATAACTACATGCAACTACAACAGCATGTGTTTCTTCAGTATTCATCATGAAAGAATCAAAGGGTGCTTTATAATCCAGTCCAATAGTGGATACAAACTTTTAAATAAATAAATGGTGATTTAGGGATTTATAAAACACTAGATCAAAAACGGTAATCTTCAAATCGAAAAACTATGGTGATGGGCACTGTATCAGGACTTGAACAGTAAAAACCCAAAGCTTTTTTGAATGTCTGCAGGGCTTATATGTGCAGTTAAAGTTTATAATAAAGCAACACTGATTCTCTAATTCAGTAGCAATCTTCAATTTTCCATTTTCTGAAAATGCAGCATGGGTTTAATAATATAATGAGAACAACATTTACAGATAACAAATATTGATCTTGTATTTTTTTTTATTTGGGCATTCATAGTACAGATTTTTTTCTTATTTTGGATGTTCTAAAAATAAAGTATTTTAGATTTCAAATATAATATCTGTTTTTACACACACACAACTCCTGTCGCAAAACTGAAAAATACAAAGTTGTTTGCAGTCTGAAGGCCAGTTTAGGCCCTTGATTGTATATATGCAAAATCCACTGAAGCCAGTTGTCACCAGATTTAGTCTCATATACATTTAAGCACATATGTAGCTTTACTTAAATAAGCAGCCCCACTGCAATGGGACCATTCGTATGAGACCTGTTTTTAGGATTACTGTGTAAGTTAGCAACACCAAGGGATGTGATAATTTACTGTACAGAGTAGCTGCTACCCTCATATCCTTGTTTTAAACAGCACTTAGGTATACCTTCATCATGGTTTGAAACCTGTGCACACTTCTCATTGATTTATGAGCAAATTCTAGTCTATTTTGGTGGGTGGATAAATACGGCAACAAAACTTGTGGAAACCCCCTCTCCCCCCACTCCCTTCAATATCTGACCATGGGCATTATATCCCACAAACCATCACTTCTGCCTACTGTTCAGCCAGCATCTTGTCAAATCTGGCTGCAAGATTAAGTTTCCTGATTCTGAATTCAATATTGGATCCCTTAGGATATAAGAACCAAGCTGGAACATTCTGTTTGGGGGGGGGGGGGGGGGGGGGTTGGTTTTGGGGGGGGGGGGGGGGGGTTTAAATGGATAAAACTGTTTCAGCTCTGAGACCTCAGTTTGCCCTGACTATAATGATAAATTTTTATGGATGGCATAAGTGAAATGAGTTTGATGTTCTCTACTTTATTAATCCACATTAGAAGCTGTTTTTACATTTCCTGCAATGTTCAGCCTTTACTCCAAAAGACTGAAGGAGTCTTGTTTGCAGGTAGTATTTCTACTTTCCATCATCCATCCCAGTAGATCTCTACTTTTTGGTTTGGAGGCATCCCTCATTTGATGCAAGCCAGCCCTCATTACATGTGAGGCACCCCTCCATAACTTGTGTGAATGGAGTGGCACCTGATTGCAAAATCAATGTATGTGTGACAGTGCTTACCTCCTTGCAGAAGGGCCAGGAAGTAGAGGTGGGGAATAGGCCAGGCAGGAACAAACCTGAGCCTACACTTATCTGCTTATGTCATCATACCTCACTTATTTCCTCACAACCAGTGGCACCCTTCAAAAGATCTGGCTGCACCCCAAAATGCCACGACCTCATGGCTGTGAATCTCTGATCTACCCAAAGAAGGTGAAGCCTGCTCTGTATACACAGACCTGATATTGAAAAGGTAGGGAATCTTTTAATGGCTGTGTTGCCTAGAACACGTTATGCCATGCCTGGCCATTCCGTTGTTAGAGGTGGTTTCCCTTAAACAATTTAAATTTTTCAAGAAAGATTTGTGTTTTTCTTTCTTTAGCATGTGGCAACTATCTGATCAAGCCATACAATGAGATGAAGCATCCCCATCTGAGATTTTACTGTTGATGTCAAAAGGAACTGAAACATTCAGCTCAAGACACACAACTCCTACCAGAAACAATGGAAGCAATGGGAATTTGGGGAAGTTCATCACTTCCCAGGGTTTAGCACAAGAGCAACAATTGCATGAAAGGCATTACTGTATTTTTGTTACTATTTACTTGTTGAAAGGAAACAATGATATTATTTGATTTTAATAAAAATTACATCTTTAATAACTTTTTAATGTAGGTTGCAGTGAGTATTTAGATGAAATCCCCTATATAGTATATGCAAAAAAATTAGTTCCAAAGCACTTCCATCATAGGATGGTAAAGAGTATTTAAAGGTGACATTGTTCTCACTGTAGATAATGGAATTTTTTAGACAGCTTGAAATAATGAACTAATAAATTATTATTGCTTTAATTGTAGTCATGTGGTATTTTTTTCAATTCTATATTTTCCAAGCAAGGGATAAATCCTCAAGTTCTTATTTAGATTATGTATTCTAATAAAATTCCTATTTGCTTCAATATGAATAGAACACAAGTAAAAGTACTGGAGCTTTAAAGGTTGGCCCAAAATGTGGGAAAGCAGTTAGAGAAGTAAACAGTTTAGTAAAATTAATAATAATCTTGATATATCAATAATTATCTACTGCAGTATATCTAAACCACAGTTGTTTTATTTAGTATTAACACCGGGTTCATTAATCTGCTTATAAAAGGTTTATGCCCTGTTATTTTCTCTTCCTTTAAACTCTTGTTTTCATAGCAGGGGGTAACTAAAAAGCACTTTTGTCTTTTACTTTGTCCCCTTATTATTTTTCCTTTATGGAAGTGCCATTACACAGCTGGATTGTATCTTCTGAACACAGAGAAGATGAGATCCCTGAAAATGTTCGAAACTTATAAAACAAAAATTACTTGATGGAAGCAGCAGCTGAAATAATGTTAAAAACAACCTAACACTTTCCCCCCTTTTGCTTAAGGACCTGTTTCTCTTTGGAATGCCCTTGTCTGTCTTCAAGCTAGTCCTCACTCAGATCTCAGTTCTGCAAACAGTTACTCAAATGAGATAGTCCATACCTAGGAAGTAGTCTAAGCAATGTCCACAGAGATAATCACACAGCCTCATGCAAGTTTGAGCCATATTACTTACCAACTTTGCTGTAGGTTTGAGATTTGTTTAAGAGTGGAAAATGTAATTAAAACGCTCAATGATCCTGACAGATCTAGCTCAGTAAACCCTTTTTCACATTAAAAAAAAAATTTGCAGGACAGCGCTAGGACTATTCCTGTAAGTACAGGCTACTTATGTAAGTACAAGTAACAATATCAAGCTTTAAGATCCCAGTCCTGAAAACATGCATAGGCTTCACTTTCAAGCGCATGATGAGTCCTATTGGACTCAGTGGATTCATGAGAATAAACTGAGTTCAGAAATTCTTGCAGAACCCAGACCTAATTGCCAAAAAACTGTGCACCATACATAAACTGTGAAAGTCTCTTTATTAGTGGCATCAGCCACAGTTATTATTTCAGTCAGTCTTGATCTTTATTTGTAAATACATGCAAATATTAAATTTATACCCTTGGTTACAAAGGGATACCTCAACAAAAAGCTTCCCCACCCCCTCCCCCACGCCTCCTCCTCTCATTGCCACTTTCCAAATAGTTACGAATTTAGAACATTCTCTTGATCTTCAAAATTTTCTTTTGATCTAACAGTTAGATAAAACTCTCCTATAGAACAGCACTACCAGTCAACAGAGAATCAGTAACAAATATCAACAACTAATCTCTCTCTTTTGAAGAAATAGTCCTACATATCACAGAGGTTTCAAAGCCAGCGATAAAACAAAAAGCCTGCAGCTATAGTCCATTTACCTGTAGCCCTGACATCCTTGAAAAACAAAAATGTTCCCAAGCCTTAAATTACTCTCTTTAATCCTAATCGTCATCTCTAATTATACAACAGTTTGTATTGCAACTGTTTAACTGGCATTTAAATCAGACACCCCTGTATTTATTATCAATGGCAGTTACTCAATAGGCAACCTGATCCTGATCCTGACCCTGCAAGCTGCTATTCATGTGGGTAGGAGCCAAGGGTGGTATAAGAAGTCAGGATTACTCACGTAAGTAAAGCCTTGGGTCCCAATTCAGCAGCGTGCTTAAGCATGCACTTATATTTTAAACATGTGCGTAAGTGCTAATAACTTAAATGAGATTTAAAATTAAAAGCAAGCAGAATGAAGGCCTCTCTCTGAGAGCCTGCTTCCTGACAGGTCAGCACAGCAGCTATTATAATTACGGTGCAATAGGAAGCTTTAGAAGCACATGCCACAAAGAGAAGTTATTCACCAACACAAGGATGTTTTACTCTACTCTCATCTTGTGTTGGAAATGCTATATACATTTGTCTTCAATTGTCCTTTTATTTTCTTCAATTTGAGTTTCAGTCCAGATCAGAGGAGGAAAATAAAAGTCTTGTTACAGCTACAGGTCAGTGTAAGATAAGAGGCTCAGCACAGTCACTTCCATGTACTGTACATAGGAAAGTGGCCCAGATTGGTATTTAGTTTATCAGACTAGAATCTAGGAGCCACAGCACAGGTACTTGAATGTAAATGCACTGCAGGAAGATAAACATCTATACCACTGAAGGAGTGTAGCAAGCCCAGCAATTTAAAGGTCATATCTTATGCATTATTGTTCTTTTAGAGTTAAAACAATGGTGGATATACCTAGACTTCAGATCACTGCTTTTTAAACATTTGACTTCATTATTGGCTTCAGCTACCAGCTATAATGCTAGACAGCAGAGTAGCATGGAATAAAAAGCCAGGAAACAGAAAGAAATCCACTAAGAAAAAAATATTTAAAACATTTTTGGAGGGCTAATATCAATTAAAAACTGATTTTGGTGCAAAAGCAGGAAAATACTTTTATATTTGAAAGAAAATGATAAAAATCCATATTTTACACTTTAAAAGGAAAAGTCAGCAGATCAATGCATTCTTTTGCTGGAATCCAGCACTAGGACCAAAGAATTTACATATATTAAATTAACTAGATCCAAACTCCCCTACAACAAATATTTATATTGTAAAATATTACAGCCACATTCCTGCATCTCCTTACAATAATAATTCTTAAGGATACACTATACTAGAGAGCATATAAAAGAGCGTGTTTCTGTGGAGATGGAATGCTTCATTATCAGAGTACCAGCATGTTCATAAATATTAAAAAAATGTTTTTGAAGTTTTTAGACATGATTCTTTTTGTTTACATTGCTTCGCCAGTATTGAAACAATGTTCAACGTGTACCTGTCCATAACTCTCACTTTCTCCGACTACAGAGAAAGTAGTTACATAGGACAATTATGTCAGTGGTGGTTGTTCAATAAGTAGATGGAGAAGAAATCCTATTGACCTTACTCATGCAAGTAGTCGTGTATGTCACAATGGGACTAATCTTGCAAGAGAGATTAAGATTTGGCCCAACATATATACAAAAGGGATTACTTAATATGTACTTTTAAATAGACATTTTATGCATAAGTATATAGGATGTTTCTTATTATAAGAGTACATTTTATATGTTCCTTATAGACTGCGCAGTTTAAGAGAAAATTTTTCTCTGCATTATTACCTGGGGAATTGTTTGATACACTTTCCAGAAAAAAATTATACATCTCATCTTCGTTGATTATAAATTAATCTGCATTACAAAATAAAACCAAACTCACTAATTTTACTGTTCTGACTGAGGTTTTAAAAAGTGACTAATGAGTCAAAGACATGAGTGACTTCTCCAAGATATCTATTCTACTTGCTATCAAGTAATTAAAAAATGAAAAAGAAAAATAAACAGCTCAAGAAACTGAAGAGGAAGCCCAGCTATGCTACAGCAACATATCAGTCTCATAAATTGGTCTTCTGAACAGAACTCTCAATGGAAAAAGAGCATGTGTTTACCATTGCATACATAGCTTTTGTTAGATTATAAGATCATATGGAGGATACTATTTAAATATATAAAATAAACATGGTTAATGCTTAGAAAAGGAACTCAAACATACTAATAATATTTACAAGCTCCTGCCTATTTGAAGATTTTTACCTAATTTACTTCATCTGTTTTTATTGCTATCTAATTTAATATGCCTCTCTTCTACTATATTTGCAAGAAAACCAGAGAACACAGAAATGTGCAGCCAGCCTGGGCCCTCAGGCCTGTGGATCAAGATGGCAGGCTGGCCTTGGTTCCCCTGGGGATAGCAGAGCCAGAAGGGTGATTGGACACAGTGACCTGTCTGCATGAGATGAGACAAAAACAGGAGGGCTGTAATGCTGATGAACTAACCTGTCACTCACAAGCTCAGGTCTGCAAAAAAAAAAGAAAAAAAAAGAAAGAAAGAAAGAAAGGTGCAGTAAATATTTAGTGACGACAGTAGGTGGGAAAATTTAGTATAATTTGAATAATACACACAGATAGTAACCTGCTAGTTTGGGTGGCTTCAGGATGAAGGGGCAGGCAGATTCCAAATCATCTTAATTGTTCATGTAAAAGGAGAGAAGGAAAATAAATGCAAAAAGATAATAACTGTTATCATGGTTCACATGTAAGGAAGGTTGCTATAGACTACTGCTGTCAAGGATCAGGGTTTGATTCCAAACGTTCCTGTTACGAATCAAAATCACAATGAGCAATGAGCTTCTAGATCTTGACATGATAGGCAAGGAGGTTGTTCTTCAGAATACTTGCCTCCTTAATTGCTTGCTTGGGGGAGGAAAAATCCAGAGGGAACGTATATAAGCAATTCTGCACCTTAGATCCAGTACACCCAGCTGCTAGCTAATGGTTAATATTGTAGCACTATGTCTACCAATGCCATCAGCAGTGGGAACCACTGTGGACAGTGGTGCTTGGAGACAGATGAAATCAAGATTAAAAAAATGAAAACAAAGTGAGGAATGCCTGTAATAATGAAAAATACTTTGAGCTGAGTGAGAATGCCTTTAAACTAGCATACTTAAGTTATTCACAGACTTATGCCTGAACTATAAATAACTCTTAGTGTGCATTTATGCAGTGGTGTACATATAGTTTAGATTC